CTCACAGGGCTCTGTAAGGTGGAGAGGGAACATCCTGCAGCTGAGAGAATGAGGCAGATCTATTTGTGGACTTGGAATGACAAGATATCTTAAGTGAAAACGGGAAGGTGCAGACAGAGCACAGTATCATGCTAGTGGAGTTAGAAACAAAACAAAAGGAATTTATGCACACACCTCATAAGCACAAACACCTCTGAAAAGGATGGTCTTGATACAGGGCCCTGGTTGCCTCTGGGGAGAGCACTCACCCTTCCTCCTGCATTACACATGGGGAGCACACCGAGGCCCAACGCACAATCAGAGGGAGCACCCCAAGGACAAGTGCACACCTCTATGGAGCACACCGAGGCCCGTGACATCCCATGGGAGCACACTGAGGCCCGTGCACACCCCAAATGGAGCACACTGAGGCCCCGGGCCCCCCCCCGAAGGAGCAAAATTGAGGGCCCGGGGCCCTTCCCAAATGGAACCAAACCTGAGGGCCCATGCCCCCCCTTTTTTTGGAGCACACTTGGGGGCCCCGGGCCCCTTCCCAAATGGAAGCAAAAGAGGCCCGGGCCCCATCCCAAAGGGAAACAAATGAGGGCCCCGGCCCCATCCCCCAAGGGAGGAAAACAAAGGCCCGGGCCAACATCCCAATGGAGCACACTGAGGCCCGTGCACACCCGATGGAGCACACTGAGGCCCGTGCACACCCTGATGGAGCACACCGAGGCCCGTGCACATCCCAATGGAGCACACTGAGGCCCAGTATACACCCGATGGAGCACACTGAGGCCCGTGCACATCCCAATGGAGCACACTGAGGCCCGTGCACACCCTGATGGAGCACACCGAGGCCCGTGCACATCCCAATGGAGCACACTGAGGCCCAGTATACACCCGATGGAGCACACTGAGGCCCGTGCACACCCGATGGAGCACACTGAGGCCCGTGCACACCTGATGGAGCACACTGAGGCCCGTGCACACCCGATGGAGCACACTGAGGCCCGTGCACATCCCAATGGAGCACACTGAGGCCCGTGCACATCCCAATGGAGCACACTGAGGCCCGTGCACACCCGATGGAGCACACTGAGGCCCGTGCACACCCTGATGGAGCACACTGAGGCCCGTGCACATCCCAATGGAGCACACTGAGGCCCGTGCACATCCCAATGGAGCACACTGAGGCCCGTGCACACCCTGATGGAGCACACTGAGGCCCAGAGCAGAATTAGAGAGAGCAGTACTAACTTTCTTTCCTGACCCAATGCCTCAGGCAGGCATTTCTCAACTTGTTTTACCCTGTGCCCTCTTTGGAACCAATTACAATATAATTCCTGTGCCTACATTAATATTCCTGTATTTTGAAAAATAATTTACTTTATCAGATCATAACTGTTTTCTTAGAAAATTAACAATGGATTTTAAAAAATCACCAATCTCCTAAGAGATATGTTGATATATATTTTTAAAAATGTATATATCTCATACACAGAGACTGTCACATGAAAAGCAGCAAGTTGCAGACTAAGATACATAGCGCACTCTTGTCTTTGTTTATAAGGGAGAACACTGACAGCCCATCAACAGTAGCCTGAATAGCCCTGACCGGTTTGGCTCAGTAGATAGAGCGTCAGCCTTCGGACTGAAGGGCCCCAGGTTCAATTCCGGTCAAGGGCATGTACCTTGGTTGCGGGCACATCCCCAGTGGGGGGTGTGCAGGAGGCAGCTGATCAATGTTTCTCTCTCATCAATGTTTCTAACTCTTTATCCCTCTCCCTTCCACTCTGTAAAAAATCAATAAAATATATTTTTAAAAAATCAATAAAGTATATTAAAAAAAAGAAGAATCCCTTGCCTAGTTTTAAAAAAACAAACAGTAGCCTGAATAAACAAACACGCATCCACACCACAGGAGCTCTGGAAGCAGCTCCAAGGGACTCCTCTGGAGCTACATCTCGGGGCTGCAGAGTTGCTGATCAGGAGCATGGGACCCAGAGCCACACAGGCTGGGCTCAAACGGTAACTCTGCCACCAGGCAAGCTCACCCTCCCAGTCCGCCCCCCTCTGCGGTAGGCTGGGGACACAGATACTGGTGAGCTGCATGTGCAAAGCCCCGCATACATAGAAAGTGCTCAACTCAAGAAATGTTAACTATACTGAGTGGGACCTGGACCTATCCCATCCACCTTGACTCAGCTGCCCAGCCCCCCAGGGATCCTAGGAACCCTCAGGGATACAGAAGGTTGGATGGGGGTAACTGGAGCTCTCCCAACGCCTGACAAGCTCCCCATCCTGTTCCAACTGGACTGAGGTTGCAAGGTTGCAGCACTCAGAATTCAGAGAAAAAGCAAGGGCCTTGGTCCAGGATATTCCTCAAGGGTTTGCAACATGGTGTCTGGGGCAGAGGGGAGCTCCCACCCAGAGTTGGAGCTGATGTGCCTTCCACGCCTCAAAAGGAAGCTCCCGGGGGAACCAACCTCCTTCCCGCCAAGAGACATGAGAACTATAACAGCTCCACAGAAACCACCTCATTCCATCTCTGTTAAGAGCAGTGGAGGAATGGGCATGTTTCTGATGTGGAAACTGAGGTGCACAGTCACCCTGGAGGTCACACAGCCAGGCTGTGGTGAAGCCACCTGGCTCCTGGCACCACACCACTGCTCCCTGATGAAAGCTACAGCTTCCCAGGTGAGGCCCAGGGGAATGGAGCAGGGCACGCTCCCACGCGCTCAGGGAATAAGGAACACCAAGAGACAGAACTCAGGAGCCAAGGGAAGGAAAGCCACGCCTTGGGAGTTGATCTTTTCGAGAGGGACTCCCCCACAAAGGCCTTCCACTCACACAGGTGCACGCTATTTCTTTAATCCACACCCCAAGATATATGGGTTTGTTTTTTTCTGGCCTGAAATTCACCAAGCCATGTTTTTTTGTTTGTTGTTGTTTTTAGAGAGAGGGGAACGGAGAGGGAGAGAAACATCAATGTGAGAGCACTACAT